GGAGTGGACCCAGGCTCATAGGGATGTTCCATCCTCTGCTCCATGGGGGACCTCCACCTGCTCTGTGGGTGGGCCAAAGGCCAAGGGTGCTTCTTCCTCTTCTCCTTGTCCCTGCCCCTTCTTGTGCCATGGGCCTGCCTCCCCAGTGACCTGGGAAAGTGGATCATGGAGGTAGGAAGGAAACACCAACTGGTGGTCCTCATGTCTGGGGCTGGCTGTCCTACCTCTTTGTGCTCCCCCTGCATGAGCTCTGGCCTTGCTTAGCTGCCCACCTGCCTCTGTGGGAACTGAGCTCAGAGGCAGGTGTTTCAGAGAGAAAAAATGATGAGGGGTTGCAGGGATAAAAAGTCACCTCAAGTCTCTACCTCCCATGCAGGGTGTACACACCTTCTCACCACATGGGCCCCTGAGTCTAAAGGCCTGAGGGTACCACAGGGGCAAGGAGATCCCTGGGCCCAGAGCACTGGCAAACTAACTGTGCAGTCCAGAAAGAGGAGCACTCACAAGTGAAGGACTGGCTCCTAGCTGTCAGGGCCAGAGCAAGGGCAAGCAGGCCAGGGTCAGCATTTTGTAAAGTAGAGGGGATGTGGTGGCAGCAGGGCCTCACACACTCTAGGCTAGCACTCTTCCACTGAGCATGTCCCCAGCCCTGCTTTACCTCTCTTGTGGTAGAAGAGAACTTCCCCATACTTCTTGGCAGAGGTGAGAGGTGATGTAACCACATCACTCTTCTTTCACTAAACCCAGCCTTCAGCAGTCAGGGTTTTCCTGGGTCCCAGAGTTTGTGGGAGAAAAGCAAAGGTTTCATGGGAAGAAAGGAAGGAGGCCCTGGGTAGGAATGCTTGGGACTGTTCTCTTCAGCCTGAGTCAAAGTGCACCCTTGCTCCTATGTAGGCTCGAGGGTGTGCCAGTTGCACTGTGGGGAGGGAAAAGGACTTCTGTCTCCAGAGTTCTGTGTTCAGGAATTTTCTTTAACCCCAAAATAGTCCAAGAGTCCTTGTTCCCTTTCAAGAGGGAACAAGTCAATTGCCAGCCCTGCTTGGGTTCCTCCTGACCTTTCTGGAGTGGGAGAAGCCTAGGTGAGAGGATCATTCCTAGTCTGTACTACATGCTAGGATTGGAGCCAAAGCAAAGAACTGGGCACTGAGCCCCAAGGACCCAAAACCAGGGCACATACCTGTGGAAGAGAAGAGCCCTATTTCTTACTCTTCGAAGAAGGAGGTGGGAATAAAATCACTGGGCACTTTCTCTAGGCTTACCAAACCAGGAAAAACGGCTAGCGGGAGAGGGTGGCTCAGGATTTCGGAATGGGGGACAGGTGAGCACGGTGGAAGGAAGAGGGGAACAAATCACTGGCTATAAGTTCAGAGAGCTGGTTCTTTAGGATGAAGCCATGAGTGGCTGGGCGCTTCCTCAAGGACCAAGTTATGCAGCAGCACCCTGGGCATGGGAGTGGTAATGCCAACCCTGCCTATCCTCAGGAAGGATGAGAGAGAGGAGAAGTTATATTAGGCACTGGCTCCAACCTGTGAGCCAGTGTTGTCACTTCCTCTGCAAGTCAGGCAGAGTTCCAGCGTCTCTCTCCTAACCCCCTCAGGAAAGAGGGATTCTGTTTTTACTGTATCCTAAGGGTTTGAGAAGGGAGAACATGGGCCCAGGAGTCTATGGACTGATGAGCTCTCTCCACAAGCATCACGGCTGCGAGCAGAGGAGGGCTGGGATTTTAGGATGCAGCTGCACTCCCCAGGTACCAGAGTCGGCTCCTTGCCCCCAAACTTTAGTGCAGGAGGTGGTCTGGGCTGCCATTAGACCAGGAATGTTGAGCAGGCTTTCCCAGCCTGTCTTTTGGTCAGTACCTCTGCCACTTTGTCCTGAGACAGCTCAGCCCCTGGCACCACCTGCTCCTGAGCCCCACCATCTCCCTGTGATGGGTGAACTTTGTGTACTGTGTCTTGGGTCCATTATATGAATTGTGAGCAGGGTTCATCTATTTTAAACACAGATGTTTACAAAATAAAGAATATTTCAAACCACAGGTATGCTTGGCTGTTTGAGTTCCTGGGAGGAGGTTTCACTGGGACCCTGGTGGTAACCTGGGAGGGGGAGGCCTCTGGTAGAAGAGGCCTCAGAATTCTAAAGCAACAGCAGGAAAATGATGGTGAAATGGAGAACTTTGTCCTTTGTGTGTGTGTGTGTGCCTTCTCTAGTGCTACCTGTAGAGGAACTCAAAGCAAAGGCCCCCTGCCCTGAAAGAAATAAGATGAAGCACAGTCATTGAGAGAACTGAACATCCATGTCTGAGGGAAGAGGAAGCTGAACATCCCAGTCAAGTCTAAACGGGTCTTTGAGGCCAGTATAGTTCTCATCTGTTCAGTGAATTAAGAACAGGTCTTCCCAAAGGCATGAGAAGGGATTGAGTAATTTTTCAGATTTGTAATTGGATATCTTAGGGGAGAGAGGCAGACATGAAACTTCAGGACTCTAAGTAGTTAAGGAGGCTGACGTTGCTCAGTGGTAGAGCACTTGCCTAGCATATATGAAGCCCTGGGTTCAATCCTCAGTACTGCCAAAAAAATAATAATAAACACTTTGGGATATGGATTTGGTTAAGGAGCTAGAGAATGTATGGGGGTAAGGATAGAAAGATGAAGAAAGAAAGGAGCGAGGGCAGGACAATCAGTAGTCTTAAGATCTTAACCGTACTTTACAGAACACTGTGATACTTGGCTCTTCTGTTTCTAATAATCACTATATGAGAGAGGGAGTGTGGTTATCTTTATCCACACTCAACAGATAAGGAAACTGCTTGGAGAACTTCAAGGATTTGCCACAGGGCCCCAAGTAACTTGTGGAATTACAGCTGGAAACCACTGTAGTAGTGGTGAAGGTTTGGCATTTCAATTTAGAAAGAAGAAATCTCATTTATAGTCAGAATTGAGAACCACCCACCTGAGCTTTTCTGTCCAGTGCTGCTTCCAGAATAACCAGTGTCCTGCAGAAAGCTGTGCAAATCACACATTTGAAGTACAGGCCCAAAGTCATGAGCTTCTGAGAAGTGGGGCTGCTATGAGGCAGAGCTGGGGTCGGAAGTATTTTAGGAACGTCTCACCAGTCTTCATCAATTATGAGAATTGAGAAAACTAGGAGATTCCTAAGGATCCTAGGTTGAGCTGGAGGAAAGGGAGGGTGTCCCCAACGCCATACTCTGAGCTCCTATGGCCTGGCCCAAGAAGGCTTGCAAAGGGGCAGCCACTAAGAGGTGTCTCCGGAGCCCAGGTACTAGGGGAAGCTCTAGGCAGGAAGATAAATATGGCAAGTTAATGTCAAGGTTTCAGTCACTGTCAGAGCCAAGTCCCTCTGACTCAGTGGCTTGGTATGGACACTTTTGGGTGACATCCAGGAACTCTTTCCAGTCTTAGCAGAGGACACACTTTATTCCTGCCACTCCTTCTGGTGGCAAAAGATTCCATTCCCACTTAGATCATGGAAGCTTGCTTTCAGTGAGCAGCCAGATGAGATATGGGGTTCCTGTGCACTTAAACAGCCATGAACACGCCGCAACGCAGAACAGCTAGGTGCTCCCTGGTGAGTAGTTCCTCCATCTCAACAAATCACTCTCAAGACCAGCTGCTCCCCAGTCTTGCTTACTCTTTGTTCTAAGAGGCAGCTCCCAATGGGTGTGTACCTGTGGAAACACTCTCCAGGAAAACATCTACCTTCTTACTGAAATTTCACACTAAAATCCCAAAGCCAGGGAAAGCCAGTCTTACTGAGAAACCAAGGCATTTTTTAAGAAGTGATTTGTTTGGTTGGTGGGTACATCAAAGAATGAAGTTGCTTTAAGGTCTGTTTAGTTTCTGTGGGCTTTTTATTTGGGGGGGATTCCCCTGATAGCCCTTAGCAAGTCCTAAGATGCCAGGCTGTGTGACTGGTATTGACATCATGGACAGCCCACTTGGATCAAGAACGACAGTAGCCATGCTTTGATGCACTCTTTTTTGGTGGGGATGGGTACTGGGGATTGAACTCGGAGGCACTCAATCACTGAGCTACATCCCCAGCCCTATTTTGTATTCTTTTTAGAGACAGGGTCTCACTGAGTTGCTTAGCAACTCGTTTTTGCTTAGGCGGGCTTTGAACTCGTGATCCTCCTGCCTTAGCCTCCCGAGCTACTGGGATTACAGGTATTCACCATCATGCCCAGCCTCGATGCACTCTTCTGTGGGGAGAGGGTCAGCACAGCACACACACACACACACACACACACACACACACACACACATTCACCTCCAAGGGGGAAAAAACAAACAACTCTTGGGGACTGAACCTTTTGGGAAAGAAGGGATGCAGTTTACCCACCTGTTCTGTGATTCATTCTCACCGTTATCCTAGCAACCACTCCATCCTCATGACTGGGGGTGGAGGTGAGGTGGAGGTGGAGGCTATAACACAGGAGATGGTGCAAGGCAGGGACAAGGCAGGACAGGGACTACCACTCACTGAAAGTCTTCATCTCTTTTGCCTGTGCAAGCTGAGGCACTGGAAGTCATTTTTTCTAGGAAATGACACAAACTCCTCCCAAGGGTACCTTGGATTTTGTGCTTCTGGAAGGTAATAGCCAAATAGAAATAGGTGAAGAGTAATATGTACATTTCAGGGGTCATCTGAGTCAGGTGGGCACACTCCCCAATTCTCTTCCTCATCTTTCAGATCTCAGCAGACTCACCTCTCTGCACAATTCAGACTGGCACTCCATAAATGCATTCAATAAATGTCTGTGCCAAGTGAAAATAACTTGCTGGGGAAAGCAGGAGTCAATCTTGTATGTCTCCCTCCCTTTTTTCCTCCCTATGCGACCTTTAGGTCTCTGGTTTCCTGCAAGTAGTGAATTATTTACATCTGCTCATAGCTATCAAATTGGTCCTTTCCAGGTTGCCAGCAGGGTGGGGCCGGGAGGCGACTGTAAGTAGGAGGAGCAATCACCTTGTTCAAACAATGCATACAGGTGAGTCCTGCTTTTGCTAAGTCATCCTGAGAACTCAAAGGCCCATTGTGAGATCTTCTGTCCTTCCTAGGTCCTCCTTCCTCCCCACTCCCTTGAGAGACCTGTAAGTGGGTGCACAGCACTCTGCAAGACTCACTCTGCGCTTCACCATGGCCTACATCGCCAAGTCTTTCTATGACCTTAGTGCCATCAGCCTGGATGGCGAGAAGGTGGATTTCAACACCTTCCGAGGCAGGGCAGTGCTCATTGAAAACGTGGCCTCTCTCTGAGGCACTACCACCCGGGACTTCACCCAACTCAACGAGCTGCAATGCCGATTTCCCAGGCGCCTGGTGGTTCTTGGTTTCCCTTGCAACCAATTTGGACATCAGGTGAGGTGTCCCTTGTGTTGTGCCCAAGGAACTGGGCTGATGAAGCTTGAGTAGGATAAGGGAAGGGGGTGAATGACTTTGCGTGTTTGAGTGTCAAGAATTGTGGGCATGTCCTTCAACCTAGGTCTTTGGGAGCGTGTGAATACTTAGGGGCAGTAGACACGCTATGAGACTAAACACTGGGGTGGGTGTTTATTATTTACTGTCTTCCCACTGTAGTCCATGAAGGCTGGTTCCAGGTCTATTTTTCTCTCCATTGTGTCCTCACTGCCTAGGGTACTGAAGGCACTCATTAAATATTTGTTGAATGAATGAATGGAGGAACCAGAAGGTCAAGAATCAAACTAGAATTAGACTTACTCAAGTTCTTCTCTTTAATGGCTATGTGTCCTTGGAAGAGACACTTGATTTTTGTTTTAGTTTCCTCATGTGTAAATTGGAGATAATACCACTTAGCTCACAGGATTATTGTAAGATTCATGGGGTGAGATATAAAAAGGTAAATAGAAAAATATAAAGCATTATGCAAATGTAAGCAATTTATTACTTGGATTGAAGATTGTTTAAATCAGTCAGTGGAAAGTGAATATGATGAAAGGGAAAGATTTGTAACTTGCATGTGTGTCCCCTCTGGGCACCACACACACCTGTCTCTGAATAACAGGTCGAGTTGTTATGAATCTTCAGCCTGCACACCTTAAGTTATCTCTTAGGGATTCTTCTATTTCTACTTGTGATTTTAATTGTATAAGTAGGCAGAATGTCCCCAAGCAAACACTCTAATTATAATCCCCTAAGTTCGATTCGCAATGGCATAAAAAGGCCATGTAGAATTAACCAAGATGTAAGCAGGAAGGCTGAAGGATCACTGACTGACAAACCAGAGTCCAACCATTACTGCTCTCACTGTTCCTTCCCTCCCTGCCAGCCTTTACCAGGCAGGAGAGACAGAATGGGTAAAACCTCCTGCCCTAGAGGTACCCCAGGCTTACTCTGTTACTTCCGCCTAGTTAGTCACCAGAGGGACCACAACCTAGGAGCCAGCCAGCCATGCATTAAGAGATTAGAAATCTAATAGAGTCAGCAGGCTCATGAATGTTATGATGGCTGGGAACTGACAGCACTCGCAGGTTCTGGTAGATCAGAGGTGGGGACTTTTTCCCAGAGGGAGACATCTGACTCTCAGACTGGGGAGGAAGGGGTGGAAAATAAGGGATCTCACCAGCCTTTTTGAGTTGTCGGGGTGAGAAGTGCTGAGTGGGAACAGGAATGGGGTGGCAGTGGGAAGGGAAAGACAGGTAACAGTTTCTGAGCTAAAGCCTTTGTAGCCGAGAACGGTCAGTAGAGAGGAGGAGCTTTGGACAGCAGCCTACAAGTGAGAAAGTAATTACATATTCACAATCTTTAACTTTCAAGCATTGTTTCCTTTACTGCCCACCCTCCACACACCTATCCTAGAACCCTCAACCCTCTATCCTATTTGAGTCATTCCTGATGGTCACTAAGTAGTTCCATTTAGACTATCATTGTGGTCTCTAACTTGCTTTGCCTTTATGACATCTGAAAACTACATTTTCTTGGTTGGGGTCTTTCTTCCCCAAACTGTTGTCCTATTTGCACTTCAGTTCTAGGACAAGGCAGGAGGAAAGCTAGACGCTCTAAGTCCAGTCCCCTGGGCCTCACTTTCACCCTGCTTTGAGGAGCTGAGCAGGGCAGAGGCAAAGGCTGTACTCAATGTGTAATCAGAAGCAAGGGAGGCACAACCAGGGTAGAAGAAAGGGAGAATGGGGGTAGGGAGTGCAGAGCATGTGTGTACATGTGTAGACAGGGAGGCAGGGAGGTAAGTAGACCGACAGGTTCTGGGCAGTATGACCTGAGCCTCCCTTTCTTTTCTTTGTCTGCCTGGAACTCAAGGTCACTTGAAGCTTTAAAAAAAACACTGCTCAGGATCATTGGAGTCAGAAGAAACGATTCAAACATACTAAATTTTTAAGTATAAGAACAGCCAAGCTAGGAACGCCAAGAACTTTCAGAAATGGCCTAGCACACCATCAACAATAGCTAGGAGAGGGGAAAAAAACCGAGTCTAGAGAAGGGCCGAGCAAATGGAGGACACCCATTTAGGGAAAAAGGATCCTGGGAAGGGAGTGTAGGAGGGTGAAAGATTCGCATGCTGTGGAACCTTCATTTCCTGACCCTTTTCCACGCTCTGTCTTCTTCCTCCCCTTCCTCCCCCAGGAGAATTGTCAGAATGAGGAGATCCTGAACAGTCTCAAGTACGTCCGCCCGGGGGGTGGATACCAGCCCACCTTTACTCTTGTCCAAAAGTGTGAGGTGAATGGGCAGAATGAGCATCCCGTCTTCGCCTACCTGAAGGACAAGCTGCCCTACCCGTATGATGACCCTTTTTCCCTCATGACCGATCCCAAGTTCATCATTTGGAGTCCAGTGCGCCGCTCAGATGTGTCCTGGAACTTTGAAAAGTTCCTCATAGGGCCGGAGGGGGAGCCCTTCCGACGCTACAGCCGCATCTTCCCCACCATCAACATCGAGCCAGACATCAAGCGCCTCCTCAAAGTTGCCATATAGATGGGAGCTGCTCCGCACACGATCTCCTGCTCTATCCAGTCCCTGAGTTTTCTTCCCCAGGATGCAGCGTCCCCTTGGGAGCCACTGCTGGACCGAAGCCTTCCCTCCATGTCACCCCTTCATTGAAGAGCCCTGCCTCTCCCATCTGCCTCTTTCCTTTTCCTCTCTTAACCCTCTGGAGACCAACTTGGGGCTCTAAGACTGGGCAGGCTTTGGGCCTTCACAGAATGATGGCACCTTCCTAAATCCTTATGGGTGGTGTCTGAGAAGTGTGAAGGGCCCATGGCCAGCCTGCCGGATGAGTCCAATAAAGGGCTGATGTAGAAATGGCCAGGCTCTTTGTGTCTTCTTCCTGGACAGAGGGTAGAGGGTAGTACAAACTGCAGGTGGGACAGGGGCACTGGCAGCACACAAAGGTGTGGTGGAGGGAGGCTCCGATCAAGGGGATACCCTGATTACTGTCTGGACAGCAGGCTTTGGTCACGGTCTGCAGTGGCAGAAAATGTGAATTGTGTTATTTTATGGCTCTTCAAAACTGGGGGTGGGGAAGAAGAAGTAGTGAAGAAGAGGAAAAGACAGTGGGCCCTTTGGCTGAGCATGCTGGGAGGTCGTTGGAAGATTATAATCAGGAAGACTTCATATCACTGTGAATACTGAGACAACTAGATATTACCTGTACCTACACATTCCTGAAAGGCAGTTTGGTCAACATTTACTGACAGCAAGAGTATAGAGGGTGCAGTTACTGGAAACAAAGAGCACTTTATCTTTCCCCCCGATTAACTTATTGGATGTTTTTGATCTTTAGCTAGAATGACCCTCCATCCCTTTAAAATTCATATTTACCATTACTCTTCTCAAATTCATATATTCACAAATTCAAACAAACAGAGGCATGAATGATTGGATTCACTTCTTCCTCCATGAGGGTGGGGACATGAGAGGGAAGTCCTCCCTGAGAAGAGACATTTTACAATCTGCCAAAACACGATTGGTGCCCTGTGTGCTGAGTGGCTTAGCAGGGAGGGTGTCCCAGAGTCCTTCTATAGTGCAGGCATATTCAGAAAGGATCAATACCACAAAGGCCAGGTTCTATCATGTTCTGGAGAAGATACCTGCTAAGAGGCCACTGTCCCATCACTATGCCTAACAAACCTCATCCTGGAACCTTCTCATTTCAACTTTCCCTTCTTTGACCACTAGATGGAATATTTCACTTCTCTTCACTGAAGCTCTGAAGGGCCAGTTCTACAAACTAGACACACTGCTTGAGAATCCCAATGTTGAATGGGGAAGTATTTTTCCTTGAATCTGTACCCTATAACCATTTTTTCATGCACTGGTATTATCTGAGAAGCAAACAGTGGAATAGAGGTTAAGAATCCATACTGTCCAACCTTCAATGAGAGCTGTCATCAATGGCGCTATATTTCAAAAAGGTAACCTGAGCATTACAGTGGGAATTCCCTGGCATCCTTCTGCAGGGCCTTCTGCTAAATTAAGACTGACCTTAACTTGACTCTTCTAAAAACTTGAACCTTTCAGATTCTTTCTCTTAAAGCCAACTGCTGGGGAGAGGGGCGGGCAAGACACTGATTTTAGAGCTGTAACTGCAGATAAGTTGCTTCTCTGATAACAGTGGGAATTCATATTGGATGCCGGTATGATTTGTGCATCATCTTGATAGTGCTACAGCTTGTTACATCCCAAAACAGCCAGCTCTCCCAGATATTGTTGTTATGCCACAGGCATTTTAGGGCCTGATATGCCACTGTGGGGTGTTGGGTCGTTCCCATGAGGCTCTAGTTTAAAGAATTATTTAGGGATTCCCAAAGGAATGGGAAGCTGGGTGTCTGTAATTTTGCAGAGTATCAAAGGGGCCATAATGCTAGAAAGAAGACTCCTCACGTGGGCAGGGGAAATGCTGTGATTCAGACAAGACCTGATCAGTTTGGCTCCAGAGGAAACAGGAGAGGAGATTGGGAGGAGACTGATTTACAAGGCCTTCAGCTTTACTAAAGTTTTCTTGTGTTGATAAAACCACACAAAAAGGGTTCCTTTCTTTTATTCCTCATCTCATTTGCCACCCTTTCATCCTCAGAAGCAGCAGCCTGGAAATGGTCATGAGGCAAAGCTTTAATGTAATCACCCACTTTCCTGGATAAACAAAATCTTTTAATCAAATTTCCCTGGGGGTGCTCAGAAGTAGAGAGAAGTCTCATTAGCAGGCTCTGCCAGAAGTAGGGAGGTAATGCTGCTCAATTTAGAGAAATGACAGAGAATTGCTTCTCTAAGGGCTCTTACAAAAAAAAAATATAGCTAGGAAGAAGTGATTTTAGGGGGCAAAGGTTTAGAGACTGAAATTGCTGGCTGTTTTCATGACTATGTTCGCACAGTTATATCTTCTTAGTTTAAGAAATACTGAGCCAAACTCTAGAACTTTATTATCATCACCATCACAACCATCATCCAAAATACCACTTATTGAATATTAACTATGTTCACACACTGTCCCATATATCAGATTATTTAATCCTCATACAGATCCCATGAGGAATTTTTATTTCTATTAAAAGAGAAAGTAGTTGGGCAAGAGACCTGCCAAAGACAAAAGGTTAATAAAGAGCAGAGCCAAAAGTTAAAGCCAGATCAGTCTAACACTAAAACATCTACTCTTAACTCCAACCGTGCTTCTTCTAGCTTAGATTTCCCTTCATAAAGGGCACCGAGAGCTGCCTGAACCCAACACTACACAACATCAAAATGTTTCCACTTACATTATATCATTTGATTTGATTAAAATTCTGTGGAGGAGGTTTAATTGTTTTCATTCTTCTACTGAAGAAAGTGAGGTACAGACAGGATAACTGGTACAATGTCTCCCCATTAACAAGTGGTAAAGCCTATTCTGGACTGAGTTCTCTTGATTTCCTTTCTAACCAACCATCTCATAATGGAGACTTGTACTACAGCAAGAAACATACATTTTAGTATTGAGAACTTCAAATTCAGACAAGAAACTAACCTTGCTCACAAAATGAAAGAATGAAACTGAAAGGATTTCTGATATACTGAAATAAAGAAATGTGAACATACACCTCTTCATGATAAATTACAAGTAACAGAATATACCTGATTGTACACAAGCTATATCAATTAATATATCAATTAATCAGTACTGGAAGGCTCTGTCTATTGGGAGATACCAAGAACATTTGAGAAAGACAGAGCTAGCTAAGATAATACAACAACAAGCTTTTAACTTCAACAATCTTACTAGCAAGAAGCCAGATCTGTACATGATGAAGCAAGTAGAAAAAGAATGAGGACCAGCCCAGGTTTCCAACGACATGCACAGGTGATTTCTTTTCCTTCTTAAATCTCAGGAAGGGGAGTAAAGAAGACTAATGCTTTTGTCTGGTTTCTTTATTTGAACAGAAAAACAAGGATTCAGTGCAACTGGATTCAAGAGGTCTTTATTCCATTTGACCCAAGAAAGGGTCTAAAAGATGATAAAGACAGTGTCACAAACACATCATCACGCTGACTGAATAATAATCAAATACATGGATAGGATCTTATGTTTTTAACTTTTGTAATACATAGTTCAAAACAGATATTCTGCTATAGACAAGGATACCAGCAAGGGCATATAAGATCATACTCCTGAGCTTCGAATGACAAAGTTGGAAGCATTAGCAAATTCCAAGACAGGACAATTCTGGAATATAGAGGATATAATGGGCCTAGGGCTGCTATTTAAAGTAATGAAGCATTTTCTCTGCTTTTTGGATTCAATTCACTGAACGATTTCCTCAGCAGGTCAGATATAGATTTGCAGCAAAATGGAAAACATTTTCCAGGAATAAAACAACTGATCCCTAAGGAGCAGCTGACTTAACTTTTCTGAGTAATAAATCTTTATCTGACATGCCGAGATTCCTTGGAGTGCTGTCACTGATATTCTTAACCTCTTCCTAACCTTGACAGACCCTTGTACCTCATATTTACTAAACACCACTGCTGGAAAGCAGTCACTGTGGTAGCTGTATGACCTTGAGCAAGTACTTTACTTCTTTGTGTCTTAGTTTTTTTCTGGCTCTAAAGTTGGAATAAGGATGGTACTTATCTTATGGTGGTGTTAATGAGGATTAAATAAGTGCTTTAAATGGTCCGTTGGCACAGAGGAAGTACTCAATAAACCTCAGCTATTATTATTACCATGCTGTTACATAATATAGCTTTTCCCTGGTATCAACAATGAATAATTGGCTAATTTTTTTCCTTATAAGCAAACCTTTAGCTCAGAATTTTCTAATCTCTTATATGTAAAGAGGAAACAATATCTAAAGCTGGACCCCTGAAGTTCTGGTTTCAGAATGAGAAGAACTAACTGAAGCCACCACATTGTACTTTGTACTTTATATGCTTTCCAAAGTATTTTACATTAATTCATTTGGATCTCCTAACAATGCAAAATGAGTATATCACATTTTATTAACCCAATGTTATAGGAATGGGACAATGAAATCCCAAGCAATGCTATGTTTAATGATTATATTGATACCAAATAGCAGAGAGACCTAAATGCTTAAGTTTATGACCCCCATAGTTGCTCTTTTAACTAGCAAAATAATACATTCTAAGATCCCTTTGGAGTGACTGAAACCATGCTATTCAGAGTTTCCCCTGTTACAACCAAATGTCCTTTTTTTCTCAGGTGCAGGATACCCTTTAGGATGCCATACTACATTTAATTGTCATGTCTTGTTAGGCCCTTCTTGTCTGTGAATGTTTATCAGACTTTTGTTTAAGAACTTGACAGTTTCAAGGAGTACTGGTCAAGTACTTTGCATAATGTCCTTTAATTGGGATTTGTGTGATGTTTTTCTCATGATTTTAGACTGGGGTAATGGCTTTTTGGAAGGAATACCACAGAGGTAAAGCACCATTCTCATCCTATCACATCAAGAGTACATGCTATCAGGGCTGAGGCTGTGGCTCAGTGGTACAGCGCTTGCCTAACATGTATGAAGCACTGGGTTCGATCCTCAGCACCACATATAAATAAATGAATAAAATAAAGGTCCATACATATAAAAATATTAAAAAAAGAGTACATGCTATCAACATGGCTCATCACTGATGATGTTAACCTTGATAACCTGGCTCAGCTAATGTTTATCAAGTTTCTCCACTGTAAAGCTATTCCCCAGTTCCATATTTCTTGGGAGGAAGTCACTATGAACAGCCTATGCTTCAGGTGGGGAGTATCTACAGAAATTATTTGGAATTTTTCTGTACAGAAGATGTGTCTATTCTCTCCCAT